AGCCCAGCTCTCCACACGGCCGCCCACTCCCTCCCCTCCGCTCCGCTCACCTGCCGCTACAGCTCCTCGTCCTCCCCTTGCCTGCGGGAGAGAGAGAGAAAGAGCGTCAGCGCCAGCCCCAGCAGCCCAGGGACGTCCCCGGCCCTTTCCCAGCTGCCGACTGGCGCAGCGACACCAACCTCTTCCTCTTCCTGGCGCCGCAGCGGAACCGCCGACCTGCAAGCAAGGGGAAAGTCTGAGGCCTCCTGGGCCTGGACTGGTGGGCAGAGCCCTGCCCGGCCCACCCTCTCTGATCCCAGGCTCCCCCCACCTGCAGCTGTAATAGCCCTGCTGCCTGCGGGCAGAGCCTCCCCGCTCAGCGTGGCCCCACCGGGGGGGCCAGGGCTCCCGAAGGGGGAACTCCAGGCACAGCCAGGTCTAAGCATGCAGGACTCAGAAGCGTAGGGCTGGCTAGCCCTCGGCACTGGGGTGGCTGCGGGTAGAACCCTGCCATTTCTGGGCTGGTCTCGGCTCAGGACCTAGCTGTTCCCACCCCTTGGGGCTCGATATTCAGAAGCTGCCTGCCCACCCCTGCATGGTGGGACTGTGCTCTGGGCTCCCCACCCTCCCCCGCCCATGGGTGCCAGTCGGACACGTCAGCCGCCTTGAGCTCCCCAAACACCCCCACACGGCCCAGCCAGGCATGGACACCAGCTGAGAGCGCGAGGGTGGCCTGCCTGCTGGGAGCTGCCGTGCAGAGCCGCTGTGTGCCTGGAACCCGCGTGGATGGGCTGCCCTTCCCACCTGCCACTTTGGGGCCAGTGAGTGAGACGCACAGCGCAGGCCATCAGAGTCCGTGGCGCCTTGCACAGGGCTGGGATGCCAGCCCCGTCCTGCTGCTCCTTCTATACTGCCCTGGCGGTTTCAAGTGTGTGTAGTTTACTCCTTCCCTGTAGCGTGGTGCGCTGTTAAACGCCTCGTGTGGTTCGCCCCAGAGCTGGCTGCATGGTGCAGTGGGCTATGCTCTCTGGGTGCACATGGTGAGGTCTGCCATACACCAGTGAGGCGGAGCCCTGGGGAAACCCTGGTTTCTGCCGCTAGAAGCGTCAGAGCGGTTGCTCCCAGTTTTAATTAGTGACTTTTCCACCCTGAGCCGGGAAGCTGGCAGGAAAATGCAAAGCTGCTTCTGCAAATATTTGCAGTATCACCCCCTCCCTCCATTTTCAGTTGGAATCTTGCCATGACGGGAATTTTCCTCCCAACTCCTACCAGAGATTAACCCGCACCCTCATCTGCCCCTCAGCTGTGGGCCAGGTACCTGCCCCGGCTCCCGGCTCAGTGGAGCCTGCTGCAGCAGAGAGCAAAGCCGAGGGGAGGCATGCAGCCAGCTCTGGGGTGAACCACAAGAGGCGTTTAACAGCGCACCACGCTACAGGCCAGGGCAACGTTCAGGGAAAGCTTGATGCTCTCATTGCTGGGCCCAGCCTAGGCCCTGCTGCCAGGGGTTGGGCTAAGGGCAGAGGTCACCCCCCCCCAAGGCAGGGGCACGGCAGCAGGGCCCCCGAGGACAGGCCCACGGCTAGATGGGCCGAGGTCGCCGACGGC